ACATTCCAAATAAATGAATGGCTAGAATCCTGTTGCTGATCTAAGTTGGTGTAGCCTGGAGTTCTTTCACTCCACACAATTAGAGCACTATGATTCCACTTTAACTGCCAAGATTGCATACTGTGGAATCCTAATGTTTGTAGTTTGGTGGGGCTCTAGTGCACTCTGGTTGAAAATTCTGCCAACCTAAACTGTAAATCACAGGGTTCCACAGAATGGAACCAGTGCTATAACTGTTTAGTATGAAAGGACCCCTGGATTTGTACCAGTATAGTTGGCCCTCCATATCCATGAATTTTTGATCGACAGATTCAATTGTCCGCAGGTTTAAATATTTTAAAAATAAATAAATACCAAAACACAAACTTTGAGTTTGACATTTGATATAAGAGTCACAATTTTACTATGCCATTGTATTTAATGGGACTTGAGCATCCACAGATTTTGGTATCCACAGGGGTCATGGAACCAAACCCCAGGGGATACCAAGGGCTCATTGTATATATAATTTTGGGGATGTTGCAGAAGAAGCAATATCTCCTTGTACAACACGTCCTCCCTCACTGCAAAAGGCAGTCTCTTGGCTAGAGTGTACCCCAATAATAATTTGCTAGGAACATTTGCTACTATACTTTTAGGGAAAAGCTATTTCTTTTAAAGATCCACAAGAATAGCATCAGTTCTCCAAGTTGCAGAAATGCAGCTGAATGCTGCCTGGTTACCTCTTCCCTGCCCTAGATACTCTCAATAGATTGGGGATGCATTCAAGTGCCAGGAAGCTGACTTTTGTAGGACGTGATAAACCAGCAAAGATGTACTAAAGGAGCTTTAAGATCTGACATTGTGATTCATGATCTTAGTCAACCTATAGGTGATGCAGTGCCAATCCAAAAGGTTATGATCACCAACTTGTGCAGCAAATTGTTTTAAACGATTTTATATAAAATTATCAAAATAATAAAATGTGAGATGTTACAGCATGAAATGCAAGTGTCATTCAGAATAACATTCAGAGGCTTAGCTTATAAACCACAAGAAGGGAAAAGAATTCACAATCAATATATATACCAGTGAGCCAGTGTGGTGTAGTGGTTTGGGCATCAGACCAGGACTCTGGAGATCAGAGTTTGAATCCCGGCTCAGCCCTGTAAACTCACTGAGTGACCTTGGGCAAGTAACACACTCTCAGCCTCAATGGCAAATCCCCTCTGAAGAAATGTGCCAAGAAAACCCCAGGATAAGTTCGCCTTGAAGGCATTCAACAACAAACCTATATCTGATAACCAATTAATTAAACTGATTTAATATGTTCAGTTGTCACTGAAGGTGGCATTTCATATCAAAATGATTCATTTCTTGTTTTACACACACACACTTTTGAACCAGATAGACATAATCTTTCTGCTTGAAGTCACATTTTAAATATTGGATGAGCCTCCATATTTCCAATTACAAATGAATTTTAGGTGCACCAAGTAAAATATATAATGAAAGCAACATTATTGATTTTCTTTTTATTCTTTCTTAATGAGAACTTTTAAAGTAATGAAAAGAGACAAAAAAGAGATGGAAAAAAGACTTCAGTTAAAATCCTATTAAGGACTGGAAACACACTGCACAACTTTCATGTTACTAAAAAGAAATAGCTGAAGTCACAAGCCTATACACTCTGGAAGTAAGCTGCACTGAACACTCAATAGGGATAACTTCTGAGCTAACATGTACAAACTGTTGTTGTGTGTGTTCAAGTCACTTCTGACTTATGGTAACCCTAAGGTAACTCTAGCATGGGGTTTTCTTGATAAGGTTTGTTCAGAAGGGATTTGCTTTTGCCTTCCTCTAAGGCTCAGACTGTGTGACTTGCCAAGATCACCAAGTGGGTTTTCATGGCCAGTTGGGGATTTGAACCTAGTCTCCAGTGTCCTTGTCCCAAACACAAGCCACTGAACCACACTGGCTTTCCTGAGCTATAAATAGTGAAAAAGTTCATAATTATGCCATTAATTCAAATATTTAATTCTAAATTACTAGTGCTTCTATACAATAATATAATCAAAAGAACTTGGAAATAGACCAAGTGCTTAACATCTTTAGGGAAGATACAATGATGAATCACAGAAATCTCTTAAAGGACCCCAACATCAATCAAGAAACTTTTAAACTAGAACAGCCTGGTTGAAGAAGCATGGTAAGTTACAGTAAAAAAATATACAGTTTTTCATGCGGAAATTACAAACTGGATTAATGACTCAAAAATATCAACTAAATGTTCACATCAATGTTTCTAGTTTTGTGAGGTTTTCCTGGTTACTGTTTCATTTGGAAAACAAAACAAAGCTTGGGTTTAAAACAGGGGTAGGCAACCTTTCCCCTTTAAGGGCCGAAGGACTTTAGCTCCCAGAATCCCAGGAGCTATTGGCCAACATGGGACTATTGGCCAACATGGCTGAGGCTTCTGGGAGCTGAAGTCCCTCGGCCCTCAAAGGGGAAAGGTTGTCTACCCCTGGTTTAAAATGAAGAAATAGGGAGAGTTGTCTTTTCCTCCTTTGCTGGTGGGTAAACACTACACTTTGGCTTTGGAAGCCTTTAGATCAGTGATGGTGAACCTTTTAGGTACCAAATGCCCAAACTAAATGGCCTTCTGGCATTGGGTGTTACCCCGTGCCAGAGGCGGGACTTCTGGGTGAATGGACCTCTGAGGTGGGACTTCTTCCCCCTGTACCTTCCCAGGCTTTCAGCTGCAGCTGGGATGGTCGGGAGGAGGAGGAACAGGCATGTGCCTTTTCCTTCTCTTCTCCGCTCCACATGCCAGGGAAAATGGCTTTGCATGCCATCTCTGGCACATGTGCCACAGGTTCACCAACATGGCCTTACATTATTGTTGTTATTAAGGATTACTTTCCCCAAACATGGTAGAATTCAAAGATATAGCTGTGTCAATCTGTAGAATCAGTATGCAGAGAGATCTTGTAGCACTTTGAGACTAACTGAAAGAAAGAAATTGGCAGCATGAGCTTTCATAGACTTCAGTCTACTTCCACAGGTGCAAAAGCTCATGCTGCAATTTCTTTCTTTCAGTTAGTCTCAAAGGTGCTACAAGATCTCTCCATGTACTTTCCCCAAACATATACACCTTATGTGACAGATTCCTCCTAAGAGGATTCAGCATTATAGATCACATATTCCAGTTTAGTTTACCTTCTGTGGGTAAGCTAGTTGGCAGATGGGATGTCATGGATCCTTTGGTAGTAGTTAAAAATCTGAATCTTGTTGTTGTTTGCTGTATAGCAATGGTGGTATGAGGTGGCATTTGAGTTGTGCCTACATTCTTCTCACAAATCTTATCTTTAGACTATAGAAAGGTGGGAAACACAAACAAATAAGAAAGTAGAAATTAGTTCTCAATGGATTCCATATGACAAAGCTCTACAGACATCTAAAGCAATCAGAAAATGCCAAACTGGAGTGAATGAAAATGAAAACTTAAAACCAATAATTCTTTCTTGGTTAAAAAAAAACACAAAAAAACACAAATGCACTGAAATCTCTAAGATGGGTGAGGACATGTTGAAGGAATGGTTAAAAAACCTGCTCTTTTGAAAAGCTTAGGCCCCCAGCCATTATATGGCTGATCAATGAAAGACTGGATAATGCATACTAAAAATGAAGATGGGAAAAGGGGGGAACAAAGAAGGGGAAAAGGGGGAACATGTACCTTGAGATTAACAGATTTCTTGCATGGATTACAATTTACTTCTTGAGGTACCACAAGATATTGATAAAATGAAACATTTGAGACTCAACTCTATATGCAACCATATATTCGTATATACCTGAAGCTTGAATACAGACATACATTACTAAGAAGTGGATTGTAACTGATGACAGCTCATACTAAAATGAAATGGTTCATTTTAAAGGTACCACAAGATTTTTTTTCTTGTTACTTTGAAAACAGATACATACCATAGGTTATGACCTTTGGACTAACCATTTAGTTAATAAGGTAAAGGTAAAGATAAAGGTATTCGCCATTGACAAGATTACCGGCTCTGGTGGCACAGTGGTTAAATGCTTGTATTGCAGCGACTCACTCATAAACTGCAAGGTTGTGAGTTCAATACCAGCCAAGGGTATTGCATCCTTCTGAGGTTGCTAAAATGAGTACCCAGCTTGTTGGGGGCAATTGGTTTACACATTGTAAACTGCTTAGGGAGTGCTTAAGTGCACTGATAAGTGGCATAGAAATGTAATTGCTATTGCTATTATCAACTCGTGTCCAACCATAGGGACGGTGCTCTTCTCTGTTACTAAACCAAAGAGCCAGTGTTGTCAGAGACTACTCTGTGAACATGTGGCCAGCATGATTATATAGAATGCTGTTTGCCTTCCCACCAAAGTGGTACCTATTTATCTACTTGCATTTGCATGTTTTTGAACTGCTAAATTGGGACTAGTAAAGGGAGCCAGCCCATCATGCAGCAACTGGGCCTCGAACTCCCAATCTGCTGGTCTTGCAATCAACAGAGTCAGCATCTTAACTACTTAAGCCACCACTTAATAGCCAGATCCTGAGTCATCTTTTATAATATTTACACACCATGCATAACTAATAACATAGCTAATAAAGCAGTCATAACCAAATTTCTTTAATGAGGAATTTATACATCATTATAGCATATGTTTCAAGACATCATGGCCAGAACGTATTTAAAAACAGGTTTTGGTGCATGAACAACATTTCTAGATATTGTTTCCTTGCAGATCAGTGCTGACTGGGAAAATCTGGAGCCACATTTGGATCCACAACTAGGAAGGCATAGTGCTACATAGATGTGCAGCTGTCAATACTTAAATTTTTTTTAAAAAAAGAAAGCTTTATTAAGAATAAAAAACAACAACTACAATACAAAAAAAATCAACAATTAACAACCCATTCACACTACATATAACACAAATTGACACATACAATCATGTATTCAGCATCTACAACAATGACATATAATAACCATACACTAATCCCCCTCACCCACAAACTATAAAACCTAGCACAAAGTGACTTCCTGAACTTCGTACTAATCCATTTTACTCTTTCTTATTTGACCTGATTGACCATTATGCCCAAACAAAATTCCCAAACTCATCAATTAATATACTAGAGTGCAATCTTAATATTTCATATATCTTTAATGCCTTTAATGCAATACTGACCTATTCTACTTTCACCAGCATAACGAAGGATTTTTTAAAAAAGAAAAGTTTCATTAACTTTAAAAATGAACATTTAAAACATTAACATACATTGAGTCACATTCAATTCATACATTCAACATCCAATGATGTGCAGCTGTCAATACTAATAATTTCAGGAGAAGAATAAGTCTAGAAACTCTCTGTTCAGCCTCGTTGAGACAACCATTCTGGATCTAAGCTAGTCTCTAAATTTTCATTTGAAAGCACCAACTGTTCACAAAAGAATCATAAATATAGAATATCTGATTATTACCTCTTCAGGGCAGCCACCATCTACCCAGTCTTGTCGGTGACGATCAAATCCACTGGAACATCTTTAAATGATGGAAGAGATTAAAATAGTCCGGAGGCAAATGAAAAATAGATTGGTTGGATAGAGAGAAAGGGGGGAGGGGAGGGAAGAAAGCAATTAAGTCCTTTACTGTTAAATCTGTATGATCAACAGAGTATTCACTTCATTCAGGATGATTTTCTGAGTAAAAATGATTAATTCTTTCTATAAGGAACTAATTTCCACAATTAGACCATTTGAGATGTCAGTGTCTTTTTGCTTTGGATAGTGAATAGCTTCATTGTTCTATGTAGCAGGAGATTAAGATTTGATCCCAAGCCTGTGGATTTAAGCCAATTTAATTTATTCCACCCAGATTTTTGTTTGCTTTCTTTTGTATAAAGTTATACTACAAAGAACATAATGCTACAGTTTTCTTTGCATCATAATAGGCAATTAGAAATATTAAGGCACTCACAAATGTCTGAAGAGCACATAGCAGATTTGAGTAAGAACCCATCCAAAAGATTCTCAAGGACAATACAGAAGACTTTATTTGCTTATTTTTTTCATTTTTCATTGTAGAGGCTAAGTGCATGATGTTGAGAAGATCAGCTCCTTG